AAAAAAAAAAAAAAAAAAAAAAAAGAAATTTAAGGCAAAAGAAAAAAAAAAAAAAAAGAAACATATTAACTCTTGACTAAAGATTGAGTTGGGTAGAAGATTAAGGTTTTGACTATTTAAAAACTGTGTTTAATAAATACATATTGGTTTTGAAAAAACAAGCAAAACATAAAAATATGCTGCTTAGAGATATATATATATATGGTTAAAATTATGTATATAATTATATACGTAATGTTATTTATATAAACTAGTTTGGTTATGTTAGGTTTGAGACACCTATCATGTCCAAGTGGAGATGACAATTAAGCAGTTGTACATGTGAGTCTGAAATGCAGGAGAGATGTCACGAGTGATAATATAAATTTGGGAGCCATCAGCATATTGATGGTACACTATTTAAAGTAATGTGACTGGATGAGCTGAGCTCACCTAGGGAAAGAATAGAGAAAGAGAAAGGTACATATAATTTGCAGTTACAAAGAAGTGCAAACAACTGTCTACCAATAGAAAATTGGTGGACTAAATTATAAATCATGGATTGTACTATTAACATTTTCATATTGCTATTAATAAGAATAAATTATAGATACATATATTGACCTGATGGGATGTTTAGTAGATGTATTTTAATCCTGAAAAAACAATTTTCAGAGTAACATGGATAATATGCCTACACATTTGTAAAAACAACTACATAGGTGGAATATAAGTGAATGTAGTAGAAAGATAGATACATTCTAAACTAGGGAATAGATGAACTTTTTCCTCCTTTATTTTTGAGAGAGAAAGAGAGTGAGCAGGGGAGAGGCAGAAAGAGAGGGAGGCACAGAATCTGAAGCAGGCTCCTGAACCCACAGAGCCTAAACCCACAAACCGGGAGATCATGACCTGAGCCGAAGTCAGACACTCAACCGACTGAGCCACCCAGGTGCCCCTTCATGCAGCTTTTAAAAGACTAATCAAAGAGGGACATAAACAAAACAAAGTGTCTGTGGCTATTTAACTATCTAGAATGTAAAGTGATCTTAGAAAGGCTGTTTATGATCGTAACAGTAGCCATCAAGGCCCATGTATTCCCTGTGTGAGCTACTTCGCATCCCTCACCCTTTCTTTCTTGTATATCTGCTCCTCCAGTACTTTCACCCTCAAACTTCTTCACTGGTAATCCTTAGCTGGACTGCCCCCAGGCTGTGAAAGCTGCTGTGCCCATCCACAGGAAAGCTGGCTAGGAATTGACCAATGGGTGACAAGGTATGAGTGCTCCAGCTCCTTGCTCTCTAGCTGGGGACATTCTGAGATGTGACCTATGCTGTCCCCAGAGCATCTCTGCAGGACTAAGCCAAAGTTCCCTTTCTTAGGATTTGGTTTAATATCACACTCTAGTCTCTTCTCCTTCCCTTCCTATTTCTGCTTCCCAGCCTTCCTTCTGGCATGTTCTGGGAACACTTGATATACACTGTTATATGTTTCCTTGTCTCAAGGCCTGCTTCTGGGGATCCTGGCCTAAGACAATGATCAATCTACTTCAAATGACTAGGTGCAACCTTAACTCTTGAGAACTCTGGCATCACAGATGGGATAGTGCAGTAAGTCAGATGCTTAGACTTCAGAAGATGAGTCCTGAGCTCTGTTGCTCACTCTCCATGTGGCCTTGGGCAATTCACCAAACTCCATGCCTTTGTTTTCTCATCTGTAAGATGGAATTGATAACAGAACTACTTCACAGAGTTATTTCAAAAAGTTAAATAAAATAATGTACTTAAAATGCATATAGAACGTTAGGCACTCAATAATGGTTTAAAAATTAACGAAGATGCTTTATATAAGTATAGGGACTATCTCTGTGTGTGTGGTGGCATGTCTAATAAAAGGAGGAGTTTCCTTTAAATGAAAACTTATAATAGATATGGAGCTTTTTTTAGGATGAAAGCCATTCTTTAAAGAATGTTATTTTATTGTGTGTAACTCATGTGAAGTAAACAAAGTTAATATATCACTGATTTTAATGGGACTTTGCACAGTTTGATTAATATACCATTATTGCATAAAAGCATTCTACATGCTGAGTAGTAGCTGGTGCATTTGAATATCATTTGGTCTGAAGTTTCAGCATATGCTATTTTCACTATATGCCTCTATGCAGGCATTATCATCCGGTACACAATAAATCAGATAATGAATCAAAAAAAGAAAATGATACCTCCCTAACAACTATATCACATATTTTAGCATTTAATATATCATTTTAATGTCTTCAATAACATCATGATGGGGATGGTATAATGACCACATCCTTTACTGGTCTAGTTTTACTTTTACAAACCCTTAACTCATTGCTTAGAATAATTAACTCAACTGTTCTCTTATCTATTTAAGAACTTACCATCCTGAAACCAATTTTTCTTGGGCCCCAAACCATGGAATTTATATGTGAACCAATTTTACAACAATGTCTGAGCTCTATAAAATCCCTCTGACTGGGAGTTTAAGCAAAGCTAGCCGATACTGAATTCTATGTATTACAAACAGCACATTTCCTGGTGGTTTTTCATTTCATTTTGTATTAAAATCCCCTTGTAATTGCTGTCATTCTCTTTATGTCTTCCCCTAATTATTCTGACTAGAGTAAACTCTCAGTTATTCGGGGACTTTATAATCTGTAGATTTTCTAAATCCTCTCTTTTTAATTCTGTCTTTTATTGTGTACATTCTTAACCAATAAATGTCTCCTATTTTTATAATATACCAGATGATAAATGATGGTAGAGTGAGAAGCTCATACTGAAATAAGCAGTTTGTGGGGCACCTGGCTGAGTCAGTTGATAGAGCATCTGACTCTTGCTCTCTTGTGAGCTCAAGCCCCACTTTGGGCGTGAACCCTATGTAAAATAATAATAATAAAATAAGCAGTTTATTGTTTTTATCAAAATTCCTGGTAAAAGGTCTGATTTCAATTAATGCATCAAATAAAAGTTTTAACCATTTGTGGATCTTAATCTGTTCTCCAAAATCATTTATAATTGAAAGTTAGAACCCTATCCTTTGTTCTTTTTTGTGTGTATATCAAATTATTCATGTACATTATTATTTTATGAAGTCTAGTTGACATACAGTGTTACATTAGTTTCAGGTGTACAACATAGTGATTTGACAACTCTATACATGCTTGCCCTGCTAAATATAGTCACCATCTGTCACCAAATAACAGTATTACAAAATCACCATATTTCCTATGCTGTACTTTCCATCTCAGTGACTTATTTTATAATTGGAAGCTGGTACCTTTTTTTTTTAATGAACCCTACACTTTGTTCTTAAATATGATAATTTTACGAAGAGCAAAGCTCCAAGTGTTGTTTCTTTTTTAAAGGCCTAATGTCATCCCATTCCATACCACCCATTACTAAACTGCACATAGCTTGAGATAATGGGGGTTGAAGGTTTTGTTCACAAATTTGAAAAGATTAAGGAGTTCTTAAATAGAATAGTCCTTGAATCGGTTTAGAAATTAAGCTGCAATGAAAGGTTAAGGACAAATATCAAAACAAGCAATAGTTTGCAATCTTAGTTATGTTCTGAGCCCGTGACTTAATCAAAAAACTTACCCTAAGGATATGGTGATGTGGGTAAAATGTATGCATTGGGATCCTGATCTTCATTTACAAGCTTCTCTCACTAACTTCATGTCTCTTTGAACTGATCTTTTTTTTCAGTGTTTTACTTATTTTTTTTTTTAATATTTTTATTTATTTCTGGAGAGAGAGAGAGAGAGACAGCATGAGCAGGGGAGGGTCAGAGAGAGAGGGAGACACAGACTCCGAAATAGGCTCCAGGCTCTGAGCTGGCAGTCAGCACAGAGCCCGACACGGGGCTCGAACCCAAGAACCGCGAGATCATGACCTAAGCAAAAGTCGGACGCTTAACAGACTAAGCCACCCAGGCGCCCCAGTGTTTTATTTATTCTTAAGAGAGAGGCAGACAGAGCATGAGTGGGTGAGGGGCAGAGCGAGAGAGGGACACAGAATCCGAAGCAGGCTCTGAGCTCACAGCACAGAGCCCGACACGGGGCTTGAAACCACAAAGATTATGACCTGAAGTTGGAGGCTTAACTGAGTCACCGAGGCACCCCGCGAAGATATCTTTTATGTTGGCCTCTGACTCTGGAGAAACACTATCCTCAATCCCATTATCTAACCATCTTCTGAATAAGCAACTCTTTTCCTTTCACTCTATACAGGTCAGGATTTCTATACCTCTTTCCTGTCAAACTTTTCTAATGACCAAAATAATAAAATACATAGATTCATACTAAAGGATAGTTTTGTCCACCTGTAAGCCTCCCCACCCCTATTCCATTTTCCTTTTAAGACAATTTGCATTAAAAAGAAAAGATCTATGGGGCACCTGGGTGGCTCAGTCTGTTAAGCATCTCAGGTCTCCATCTTCAGCAGGGTTCCTGGAATGAGTCCCACGTCCAAAGGGGCTCTGTGCAGACAGCTCGGAGGCTGGAGCCTGCTCACACTCTCTGTCTCTCTCAAAAATAAACACTAACAAAAAGAATAGTTAAGAAAAAGATCTACAAACCCAGTGGAATTTCAAATTCCTTTAATTTCTGGAAATTGAACAAAGGGCAGAATGTTCTACTGCCGTGCATGTTTCTATAAATGAATATAGTCAAATGGTATCAGTAAGTAGAGGAACAATGTCAGAACGTAACGTGGACAGACATTGGTGGGTCAGTTGACTCCTCCCACCAGGCAACAACCACCTGACGTAAGGTGCACTGACACAGTTGCTGCAAGTCAAGAACCTGTCACACCCTACATTCTTCCCCTTGGCACGGTGTGGCCACATGCTGTGTCTTGAAATGTTTATTAAACCTTCACTCCATTTTTGTGCATTTTGCTTTGTCTCAGTAACTCTTCCTCTTGTTCTTCCATCACATGATCTTATTTACTACAGTATTATTAGGATTAGCATCTTTTTTTAACTCTTATTTTTATTGGTATTCTTAGTACTCTTGGTTACAAAGTTACATAGGTTTTAATTATCCACCCAAACTAGTTTTCCCCAAAGTTCTCTATTTTTAGTGCACAATATTGCAGATTGCGAAGGTTTTCACAAATACCTGTATCATGTGATTGCAAGAACACTGGGAAAGCACTTTAAAAAGTGTGGAGAAGACTTACTTCCATCCCACTTTCCTTTTTGTGCAGGGGGGCAGCATGAACAAAGGAGGATTTTTTTCCCCTTCTTTACAGCTTTCTGTATTTGTTGTAAGTTAAAAAGCTACCCAATCAACTAAAATATTCATCAGCCTTTACTCCAAGTTATTATAAATAATGATGAACTTAATCATCAAAGCTCCCGAAAGGGCACATTTCCAATGTTACTGGTCATGTCTTACTGTTTATTAAAATTCTGTGTTTAGGCAAGTCCAGGTTCTTTGTTTCAATGTCTCATCCTAAAAGCACATATAATGTTTTGAGGAACAGTCTCATTAGATCATCTTCCTCTTTGCTATCACAAATTTCTCTGAGGTTCTCATAATCTATGTAATAAGTAACATAGAGAGGAATTCTAAGGTTACAACTGACAAAGAGGATGGCTTCTCATCCTTGCTGCAGCAGAGGTTAAGATTTAGTTGGATTGAATCTTTCCAGGCTAAAGAAGGTATGCAAATTACTGGTCTAGGTAATTTTATTCCCCTATCGTATCCCAGTCGAGGTTACCATTTGCTTATTTATCATAGAACTTGTTAGATAGTTGGTGTTTATGAAATCATTCAATTAGTGAACAATTCATTGGATACCTCTCTGATCTCAAGCACAAAGTACCTATAACCACAATGGCAGAATGTATCTACTCTTCTTTGCCACTGCATTTAGGATTTTCTCCTGGAGGTCTCAGAAAGGAGGCCACACTTGATTAGCCCTGTTAGGGAAATGGGTACAGGGTATGTTTTGTGAGTGCCCAGTAATTAGTAATTGTCAACCTTGAGATCCTATGGTGGCTCTTTGAGGCCTCTGAGGTATGTCCCCAATGGAACTTTCTTAAATTAAGAGGTTGTTTGGAGGTAGGAACTGAAATACTTGTGTTCAACTGTCAAGAATTAGCTGTGTAACCATAGGCATCCTTTAGTATCTTAAGTCTTTTTTCTATGTAAAGTGAAGGTAATTACCTGCCTTTCCTAACACACCATCCCAATATCGTTTATCTATTTTTCTTTCTGGTTTATCTTATGAACACATCTATTTGGAAGGAAAGGCTATGTTTTATTGGTTTGTATCCTAAGCGCTTCTCACAATGACTATTACCTGGTATTTTCAATAAAATGTCCATTGGTCCAGTGAGTTAATGTAAGTACCTGGAAAGTTTCACAGTGCTAAATAAGTGTAAGCTGTCTGAAAAAAGCAGGTAGAATGTCACCATTTCCTTCTCTCCTTAGGGCTGACAGTTCTTCCTGTGGCCCAAATTACCCTGGGCAATCAGCCCCAGTTCACACAAAGACTGGACAGTGCCTGGATATTGGAGCATGTCACACTCTCATCCTTCTGGAAATGTTGTAACTCCAAAGGGCTTGGGTTTCCTTTGGATCATCTGGTGTCCAGACATACATCGCTCGTCATACACAGCCATGCTGATACTGCCAAATACCTGTAAAAAAATCAAAATGTTGAATATTTATTCTGTGGTACATTTTACAGGTGTCCAAATGCTTCAGGTTTGCATAGTACTTTTCTGTAATTACAACAGCTAACAACGACTGAGATGTGACTGTGTGCCAGGCACTATTTCCTTATGTGTACTAACTGCATGTATTTATTACATGTATCACATTTCTATGGAGCACGTATGACTGATATACATCTTGTATGAGAACACTGGAGAGAAACAGAGGTTAAGTATTTTGCCCAAGTTCACAGGGTTAAAGAGTGGTGGAGCCTAGGCGCCAGCAGGATCTGTCTGGGTCAAGTCATAGCTTTTAATCATATGCTATGCTGCCTCTCGACTAATGTTTTTAGTAGCTATATTTTCTATTATAATTCATTTTTCTTTTGGGAAACTAACAAGAATATTACAGCTTACTTTGGCTACTTATGAAATAGTTGCTTTCCACTTCTATCGTTACCCTAAGTTTTAACTGGTGTTCTCTGCATGCTTATACTGGTGATGAGGTGATGAGAACTCTATAATATGCATAGATTTATAAAAGACATACTGTATTTAAAAAATGGAATTCGGGAGAATGCTTTTGTTTGCCCAAACAGTAAAGAAATTGTTATAGGAAGTCAAAAAATACCAGAAATCTACTCAAAACCATACACTAAAATTCTAAATAAATAAACGCTCAACTTATAACACAGAGTGGACCCTAAATAAAAGGACCTAGATTAGACCTCCAGCTTAAATCAGCTTGCTAAAACTGTACTATTTACATAGACTGTTAACTATCAAAATAGGGACAGCTATCATTGCTGTTGCTTGCAATCTAGGATCTTGGAAAGTCATTTTGTATGTTTCCCTTCATAATCGAAGATCTCTTGTGGTAACACTAAATTTTAGGAAATTAGTTATAATACTTTAATACCTTAATATGTGATGAATAAAAGAGAATAACTGAAAGAAAACTCAGTTGCAATAAACAAAGCTATGTTGGACTCTTTCAGAAGACCACTTTTTCACACCTGTTTTCTATTGGCATACATAAGCTACCGGTACGAAGAAAAAACATACATTAAGCATAAATTACCCTGAAATTATATTCTGAAATGGTTCCAACACTATTCTTAAGAATTGACAAGATTAAAAAGGCAAAAGCATTGTAAGTCACAGTACACAAGACTTCTTACTTCATCTACAAAAATAGAATGCCAATGTTTTATTTGCCACAGGGATAAGGAGGGAAACATCCGTGAAATAAATTTGATAACATGACTCACACTTCATTACAAATGATTTTCCTAAATTCACAACTTTCATATTTGGCTGAGCTAAAAAGAGGGGGGAAAAAACCCAAAACTAAAAAAGGAAATTTCACTTGATGTAAGTAGGCCAGATCACATGATCTCTTTAAATGAGAGTTTAAATGAATGCACTTCTCCAGCTGGGAAACTATTTTCCTTCATTTAGAGAGGCTAAAGAATTTACCCCAAATGATGAATAAATCCTTGGGTCAGGTTCAGAAAAACCTATCAGACTGTTTAATAAGAATCACACAAAACTTTATTATGTAACAAATGTGAAATAAAACATTTCCTTGGTTAAATCTTAAAAGAATAATAAAATCCATACTACTTCACCATCTTTCAGATCTTTTTCTCCTTTGTCTACCTTCTAGGTTTCTTGGGTGTGCTGCACACCTATATAGAGCCAATTTTACTCAGTGGAGAAATGTGTTCAACATTAGCACCCTAAGGAAGTAGTTAAGTGTAAGAACAGGGTTATTCAAACTGCTTCCTCTTTCTTCCTCCCTCTCATTACCAGAAACAAACTTTATTTAAAAAAAAACAATGAGGGAGAAGTACTGAAGCCTAGAAGCAACCTAGGAAAGGAGGGAATTCGGAGAATGATAGAATATGGCTCTGGAGAGCTATTTAAGTCATAGTGAAAATTTATGTAGTCTAACAAAACCCTTTACTGTTCCCCCTGGCTACAGATTTAAATGTGAGGTGTCAGGAATGTGCATGGAACCTTCAGAAACTGGTTTTTTCTTCCGTGTTTTTGCTTTCTTCCCGTGAAAACAAAAGAAATAGAAATACAAGTGCTTGGTACCACATGCTTTTAAGGCTCAACAAAGCCCATTGATAAAGAAGCTTTTTCCAAAGTTGGGGGCATCGGGATTCGCCTTTTAAATAAATATCGCCGGAAGAACCTCTTCGAAGGGAGACAGGTCACTCTCCCTCCCCAGGAGCCAAGGGGGTAAAAGGAGACAGAAGATATCGCCCCCTACTTGCACGTGGCATCTCCCTTTCTCCTTCGAAACCCCCTCCGCCTCTCCCACGCAGGTCCGGCCGACTCGGGAGGTAGCTGCGAGAAAAGGCAACGATCAGTCCTCCATGGCAAAGTCTTTGGTCTTCTCCTCCTGGTCGCCCACTTTGTAGCGCAGCAGCACGCGCAGGAGACGGTGGTTATCCCGGGAGGGCAGCAGCGTGATCTCGCCGGAAACGTCCGTGTCTTGTTCCACTTGCACAGGCTCGTTCAGGTAGAGGAGCGCCTGCTTCCAGTGCGTGACCGGGTGAAAAGGCGAAGTGGACAGCACCAGCGGTTTCTCCGAGTCCCCTCCGGGGAAGGTCACCTGGAACCAGATGGCAAAGCCGTGCATGGGCGCCGAGCCGTAGCAACTGAAGCGGAAGCGCCCGCCCACCCCCGCCTCCAGCTCCTGCTCCAGGCCGGCGCGGGCCAGCTCCAGCTGAGCAAAGCGCTGCGGCCGGGCCAGGACGTCCTCCCCGGACAAGCCCTGCACCACGATCTCCGAGTGGCCCATAAGGCAGCGCGTGGCGAAGCTCTCCAGGCAGCTCATGTCCACACCATAGAGCTGCTTCACCTGGCTCCAGAAGCCGAGGCGCAACTCCAGCATCTGGTCGCTGATGGGCGCCACGAAGAGCTCGGCGGAAGCGGGCAGGAGGAGACCGCCCTCCTTCAGCCACTTGGTCCGCGCGTAGAGCACCGAGCTCAGCATGGACTCGTGCAGGAGTCCGTAGCCCATCCACTCGCTCACGATGGCATCCACCTGCTCCGGCAGCTCCACCGTCTCCACTGGCCCCGGCAGGACGTGCACCCGGTCCTCCAGGCCGTTGAGCCGCACCACCTCCCGGGCCTGTTGCCAGATGGCGCTGGCCTCCACCGCGTACACGCGCCGGGCCCCGGCCTGCACACAGAAGATGCTGAGAATGCCGGTGCCCGCGCCCACGTCCAGCACCGTCTTGCCCCGCAGTGCTGACCAGTTCCGCAGGATGCCCAGGCGGTAGGCATCCGTGCGGACGCGGTCCGCAATCATCTCCTCGTGGACCGAGATGTCCGAGTAGCACTCGTAGTACAGCTGGTCCCGCTCCCGCCTAGCCCTCCGGGGTCGCGGCAGGGCCGCCGCCTGCTCTCCGCCATCTTCCTCTTCAGCTCCCTCCCCTCCTTCGCCGCCGCCCCCCGACTCAAGCTTTCTTTTCTTGGGCTGCGACATCTTGGCGGCGCCGAAAGACTCCCAGCGGGCGTTGCGCCGCTCCTCGCGGGCTCCAGGAAGCGGGGGCTGCTGGGACTTGTAGTGCGCGCTCGCGCCTCCCACTTCCAGGAGGTTCGCGGCGCAGGTGCCCGCCGGAAGGTTAGAGCTCTACTCCACTCTTTTATTCGCGCTTTTGAGGCTCTGGAATCTTTTTCCCACCCTCCAGCCTAGGTTCTATGAACCTTTACCTACACCTCTTTCCCGTTAGCTCCTCAGTTCTCTTTTGCTTTCACTCCCTTCCTGAGCCCACACGCCCACAAGACTAAAAAGCCATGTTTGTCTTGTCTGCTTAACGTTGTCTTGTCTGTTCAACTCCCTGATTTTACTCCACCCAGTTATCTGGGCGACGCCCTTCAGACACTGCCACCTCCCCTGGACCATCACTACTCTTAAAGATCTCCAGATGGATATTTAAAAATTGCATTGCCTGTTTCCTTTTCTGTTTTCAAAGGAGTTAGGGTGCAAAGAAGGTGTAAATACAGCAAAGAAAACCCCTCACGGTGTAAAACTTTGGTTCTGATTCCAGTGAGAACCCGAATTAACAAAAAAGATTAGCCCGGGTTATCTGACCACTCTTGAATTACCCACTCATACCAGCAACAAGGAATCTTCATTGCAGTCAAGAATTATGTTCTTGGTTTCTTTTTGAGGACAATACTTGACAGTCCTGCTCTGGTAATTCAGTGGCTCATTCAAGATTTAAATCTTGGAAGGGTTCAGACTAAAGAACAGTTGAAAAGCAAGGGTGATTTGACACATTGAAACCCATACCATTGTTGTATTCTGGTAACCAATTAAAATGTTTCCCCTCAGAAATAACTGAGTCTTCCCTCCCTTATGCTCACTTTTCCACTGCAACTCAATTCTTTCCTGGGTAGTTGATACTCTTCCTCTTCTGTTTTTGTTTGTTTGTTTTTTTCAGTCAACTATCAGCTGTTAATTTCTTCCCTCTGTGTTGTTCATAATAGAAATAAAATATCTTTAAAATATATGTGATGTCTCTATGAGTTTCTGTGTTCCTAACCCTGTGAGAATAAACTTTTCTCCTAGCTTCAAAAAAATCACATTGAGGAAAATTGACTTTTATCTTCTTGGAGTCTCAAGCCATGTCTATCTAAACAGTGGGCCTATATTCCTCATTTGGAGAAAAAGTTCCTTTACCTTTACTTCATTCTATTAAGCCCTTATTTAATGAAATGGATTTATTGACCAGACCTCCTCCGCTGTACTTCTAGCTCAGGGCTCTCAGCTCTTGCTGCTCGCGAGAATCATCTGTGTAGCATTTAAGAAATACCTATGCCTGTGCCCCACCTCAAAGTTATCAAAACAAAACCACTTCAGTGGAGCCTGGGCATAAGGTTTTAAAAGCTCCACAGGGAATTTGAATGTGTGGCCATGGTTTCTCACTAAGGTGATCTTAGTTAAATTCTTGCTGCATTATTTTCATTGGGTAAATGATCTTTTTTCCATGGCCTGGCCTCAACCACCAAGGCCATAAATCCTCAAAGCAGTTTCTTTATCTTTTTGCCCAATTTGATAGTTTTTTGTTTTTTTTTTTAATAGAGGCACAGAGCAAGCCATGGGATTAGAGTTTTAAATGTGACCACTTTAATGTCTGATGTCTAGGTTGTTACTTAGTGCATACCTCTGCTTTCCTTCCTCCAAGTCCTTCCCTTCCCCTTTTAAATGTACTTCTCTAACCAATTTTCAATGCCCTTACTTATGGTCTCTTTTTAAGCAAATTCTAAATATAACTTTTGTTGGTCGTACCTCCAAAATATGTCTTGAGTCCATCCTTTTCTCTTCTTCTCCACTGCCAGCACCCTAGTCTAATCTTCCATCCTTGCTTGGCTGGAAATCAGTCTCCCAAAAGATGGCACAGCTTCTAAACATACCACTATCTAATCCATTGTCCAGATGGCTGTAAGAAGGAGCTTTACAGGACCCAAATTAGGCCATGTCATTCTGCAGTAACTTCCCATTCTAGATATTGAACCAAGCCAGTAACTTCAGATAACTTCTCATCTCCTCTCCTGCTACCCTGCCCAGCTCACTGGGCTCCAGATATTCTGGCCTTTAACAACCACCTCATTCCTGACTCAGCTCTTCTCTTCTGCTCTTCTACGCCTAGAACACTGTTTTTCTCTTAGTACTTAACCTCAGTGGCTTCTCCTCCATTAGGTCTCAACTTACATATTACTTTCTGATAAAGGGCTTCTTTGGCTACCTTAAGTATTATTTTCTAATACAGTTGATTGCTTTATTTTCTATTGTTCACTGCTTTTATTATTTTGTATATATTTAGTTTATTTCTATATTTTTGTGTGTGAACTCTAAATTCCAAGAGGCTTGCACTTTTGTTTCTCCCCATTGTAGTTCTTAGCACTAGAACAGGTTATGGCACATAGAGTGCTCAGGAAATAGTCTTCAATGAAGACTGTTGTGGAAATAGTTAAATAGTTATTTATGGGGAAGGAGAAGAGGGTTTTTTTTGTTTGTTTTGTTTTGTTTTTTGTAGTTCAGTATGACAATGTGACTCTGATAAATGCTGAGATAAATCCAGGTACAGATTGAATTTAGGATGCTCCCAAGTGAGAGAATTCCTTTATTTTCAAACACTCTTAACCCTTCTGGACAGAAGAATGTTAAGCTTTACATTTTATGTCCAGAGTAGAGAAGAAATGGCCTGTGGCTCTTTCCCTTCGTGTACATTGGTTTGATATAGGGGGGGATTTCTTTACTCATCTTTTCTACCACACTGAGTTGTTTTAAAAAGGATGGGGACATAGATCATAGTTCTCTAAGTCGTGTAGCTCCAGCAAACCACGTGGGTGGGAGGGGAGTTGGAGCTCAACTGACAGAGCATTCTTTGTGTTTTCATTTCAGTGGTCTACTCACCACATCCGTTTGATGCTCAATCCCGATGTCTTTCAAACGAATGGATCTTCAAATTGATTCAATACATCTTCACCAGAATTAAAAAATAGAAGAAGAAATAGAATAGAAAATCTCAGGTACATGAAATGAGTAACGGTGAGTTTTATTTCAATTCTCACTGCTTTCAGTTAAATATACTGTATATGTATTTCTTGCTGCAGGTTATGGTTCAAAAGTTTGAAATCCATAGCTTGTTCTCCAAAGGTGCTGTGAATTTTACATTTCTGCACCTTTCCTTTGGGTTTTCCCTCTCACCCATCTTTTTAGATAATGCTCAAATGTTATTTATTTGGAGCTTCTTCAACCAGTCTGTGACTGATAATACTAACATATAATTCTTTACTTATCCCATTGGACCACAGCTACTTACATATCTGGCTTTTCCATGTCAATTGGTGGATATTTGAACATCAAGATTTTAAATTTTAACTTTGATATCGAGAATCTAGTGCATTGTGCTGGAATCTGAATGCCTTTGAATTTCCCGATTGTTGTTCCTGAGTGTACATGGGATCATAGATGTGTTTTGTATGGCTAGGAGCACGATGATTGATTTTCTGTATTACATGCATTGATGTATTTATTCATTTATTCAGTAAACATTTTGGACTTCTACTCTGCATTAAATATTCTAGAAACAGGGGCTTCTGGGTGGCTGAGTTGATTAAGCACCCAACTCTGGATATTGGCTCCGGTCATAATCTTGAGGTTGTGAAATCAAGATCGAGCCCCATATCAGGCTTTGTGCTGATCGCATCGAGCCTGCTTGGGCTCTCTCTCCCCCTACCTCTGCCCCTCCCCATCTCCCTTCCTTCTTCTCTCTCTCTTTCTCAAAATAAGTAAGCATTAAAAATAAATTCTAGAAACAAGGAACATATCAAGAAACAAAAGGACAAAAATCTCTACCTCCATGGAACCTCTATTTTTGTGATAATATTATGCTCTTTACCATTTTTATGTTGACTTATTAAAGCAAATTATTATACCCCCTTTAATTCTCACCTTTTTTTTCTTATATTATTTTAATTGGGAGTTTTCTGATGTGATTGCTTCTCACAAATACTTATTTAAATTTTTTTCCTCTTTAATTTGAAGGTCTATTTAAAAAATGTATTTTAAAGCCTGGTATTAGAATTGGAGGTAGTTCCTTCAGGATTTCAAGAATTCATTGTAATTCTCAAAGTGTGTGTTGGGAAAGGGTGAAGGAGCAATGACATGAAAAATGTTATAAATATCTCTTTGATATGAATATTCATTAAGTGATGTGGTTCTTACCATTCCATAGTTACTTGGAAGCTGTCAGCATAGAAAGAGGCACTTCTATCTTTAAAAAAAATCTTTTGTAGAAAATGAAGGAAAAGATGATGATTTTTGTATTTAAACAAATTGGAGCATCAAACATAAGAAGCCTTGGTATATGTTATTCTCTTGATGTCTACAGTTTCTTTCCATGGTGTATTGGCCGAGCTATTAAACCTAATACTAAAACAGATGGATAGCAAATTCATAGCTCCCTGATGATATTATTATGAATAATTGTAATTCTTTAAAAAAATGTTTGTGTTAAATTGTTTAGGTAGTCACAACAAAGATTTTATGAATGTAATCCATAATTATCAATTTGTTTTAAACTTATTGAGCCCTTTTAAAATTCAATGCATCATTTTAACGATTTCAAGTACAATGATTGGCTATGACATTTTAACTATTTCTACTACAAATCATACCACTATAATGGAAATAGTACAAAAAAACCCCAGGAATGTTAATTATAATATGGGGAAAAGTAATATATCAGTGCATCTATGGAAATTTGCTCATCTGCTACAGGAGTAGTAAGAATCAGGTAGCTTGAAGAAAATTAGATATCAAGGTTAACGAATATTATTTAATAAGCTCTTCCTCTCTTTTTTCTTTATGAAAACCTTCAGTATGAAAGAAAGTCAACCATTTGCTTCAACCAGATGCTTATCATCTCATAGTATTTTGATACTGAGGACATTAAAAATGCGTAGAAGTAAATGTAGTCATGGTAGACCTGTGATTCTCAATGTATGGTTTCTAGATCAACAGTATTTTTT